TATATATATACGTATATATATATATGTATGTTTCATAGCTCCCTTGGACCAATGTCACTTTTCTTCTTGTCAATTTTGTTTGAACTATGATTTAACTATGATTTAAGGCTTAATTGGCAATAAGGATCACAATTTGTTACAGATAAATTTATTGGTTTTACTTTTATAATTTTCTTTTAAATAATTATTTTCTCTAAATTTCAAGAAAGTACATATGCAAAATTGAAGCAGAAAGACAAACAACCTTATGATATTTGATAATTCATTTTAAGGAACTCTGAATCAATTCTTTTATAGTATTTATATGTTGTATATATATGTTTTCTTAGTTTTTCACATTTACTGTGATTACATCAAGAGTATTATTTACGTATTACTAAAAACATGTCATATTTCTAGGTTCTGAATGTAGATTGATCTATTAATCCAAAGCATAACTTTAAATTGATGTTTTAGTAGATATTTATATAGCGCCAAATTATTTCAGTTACCTTTTTCCAATTTTAAGGTATTGCTATTTTAGGTAAAGTAAAATTTAAATTTTCAAGCCAAAAATCCTAATTTATTACTAGAACAAAATCTAATTTTAGTTAAACTAAATTGATTCAGTGCAGAGCCACCTGTAGCTCTTTGGCTCTCTTAATATATTTCAAATGATTATCTTTATTTTTTGTTTTATGGTTTTATGTTCCCCCATTAAAACATGGTGTAAACTGAACTGATTTGCTTCTCTTCTCAACAAACTTTTCTTTCGCTCTAGCAGCAAAGCTTTTATTTTGACGGTATTTTCCGGAAGTAGCGGGCATATCACGGTGTGTCTTTACAGACTCCCCGGTTGACGCCTTTCCCTCCCCCTCTTCAGTTTCCACTCCTCCGTCAAATCATACAGTGATCTCTGACAGCTGGAGGTGCGTTTACTGGACAGCGGGTAGGATCCGCAGTGAAGAAGTAAACAACAAACCGCTTCGTCAACTAAAATTATCACCGTTTCCGTAGAAAAAAATAGTAACTGTTGCTGTTATTTATTTTTTTCTTAAAGCACAGAAATGGACGAAAAGGCTTTTACCAAAGAGCTTGATCAGTGGATTGAGCAGCTCAACGAATGTAGGCAGCTGTCCGAGGGACAAGTGAAGACACTATGCGAGAAGGTAAGATGCTGAACCTCATTTTTGTTTTCCCTATTAATATGAAATTTAATTTCACTGTCTTGTCTGTTATTTCTACCCTGTTGCCTTCCAGACATTCTTAAAATGGCGTCTATAGAGTAGTTTTCTTTGCGCGGTGCGTCTGTTTATTTGCTCATTAGTAACTGTGGCTTCAGACCGTTAAGCTAATTGTGCAATGAGT